GGGGGAAGAGTTGTTGAAGAAATGAGATTTAGGTATATAACTGAGTGTTGACCTCCAAATTAACACCTCCTCATTATTTCTTATCTTCACGACAATTATTAGGTTGCTTTGGTTTTCTGCTTTGCTTTGTTTTCAGAGAAATGTTCCCACTCTTTTTTTTTGTACGTGCTGGTTCTGACCCCCTCAATAATCTCAGGTTCCCTGGTCCACTGCAGTTCTCTCAAACCACAATTAAGACAAGTCGTTTAATATCACTAACCCTTTTCAAATTCACTTGGCACAATACAGGTCTTGCTGGATTTATGCTTAGTAGATTACATTGTCTAATTTTTTTTAAATCTCAAAAGATCATTTCAATATTTTCCTGCAAGTGATAACTATTACATTGATTCCTTCATAATCTGTATTTATTGCCTTGCATATGACACTTTATGGTGTGCTTTCCAAATGTAATTAGCAAAGCATTAAAAAAAAAAAAAGTTAAAACACACAGAAACATAGGAAGTGTCACACCAGATCAGACAGATCAGTCTGCCAAAATCAGAACTGGAATATTCTAATGGTGGTAAACAATCATAAACACAAAAATTTACACTTTTGCAAACAAAATGAAAATTTTTATACACCTTTTAGTGTAATAGATAAGCTTTTTTCCCTACAAAAAAAACTACACACATTTAAGCAGGTGATCAACATTCCCAAAGCACTTAGTTTCAGTTAGAAACTGTGTTTTGTTCATACATTAAACCAGGTTTTCTCTTTTCCTGTGACCAAGAAAGCTATTCCAGAGCAAACTGGAATGAGAAATACCACGCTCAGTCCAGTATTAGGAGATGATGGATTAATGATAAAAGTACAGTTTTAATGTCTACTTTGGAGGGAAAAAGATTTGTGCCTCACCTAATAAATGCAGCAGATTCATTACAGTAAAAGTAAATGCATCCAGTTCTCTATAAGAATAAATTATTCTACTATGCATTTTAGTTGTATATTGAACTAAAATCTGATTGCCCCATTACTCAATATACAAAAAAACCCCCATTTTGTTTGGTTTATGTAGAAATCTAGAAATAAGTAAGAAAATACTGCAAATTCTCCCTATATACATATATATATCAGATATTTCAAAAGATGTTATCAACATCTATATCTCTATTTTTTACAAATATTCATATCTATAATGTATCCTTTTTTTCAGAAATATTCTAGGTTGCAAACTCCTGCATATGAACTACAATGGCCAGGAGTGACCTCTGACATGCACCGCCACTTCAATTTTGTTTGGCTGCTGTGTAACCAAGCCATGTTAACTGTGGAAAAACTGCTGGAATGCATGAAAAAAATGTAAGTGAGTAAATAGGGCACCTGTGAATATCTCAGAAATACAACAATTACAAATATTTCATGTGTTTTATTTCTGCTTTATTTTAAAATTTTATTTCTGCTTTATTAATAAATACAGCAGTATTTAATAACAAAGCATCCAGTTAATTCTTAAGTGCTCCAGAAGAGGAGAGTCTACTTGCACAGAATCACAGACTCATACCTGTATGCTTCCCAAGTTCTGCAAGAGTATCCTGGTACATGCTCAACATCTGGTCACAGTGAGCAATAACACTTTTGCGCATATTGTCCCAGTGAGGAGCAAGTTCTCCCAAGTCTTTAAGTTCCTGATTCCTATATCAAAAGGCAAAAAGAGAAGGCATTAACTCATTAATCCATTAATATTAATCCAAATTAATCCAATTAATCTAAAACCAGTTTGTTAAAAAACATCAAAAGCACTTCCTAATTGAAATAGAATCTGTTTTCATGACACTTCTAAAATATGTTGATCTCAGCTCTGTTTTTTCAGCTATACAATAAAGAATGCCAAATCAGTGAATAATACAATAATTTGTGTTCAAAACTCATCTGGTACAAGTGCAATAGCCTGAAAACTGAAATATTATTTCTTCCCTGGAGGTAAGAAGGCTTCCAGGCTCCACAGAGCTGTGTTGACAGCAAGTAACTTTTTGTGATGAAATATTAAACACCGTTGTACAGAATACAAAGTTTGCCCCTTTTCCAATGCTTGCAGCATAGATGTATTGATACACTCGACTCTTTGAATACTTCCATACACATTATAAACGCAGTTTTAGCAACACTTCTACATAAGTCAGTTTAACCAACACACCAGACACCTCACCACATTTCTTTACTCTTCAAAACAAAACACACAACCAAAAAAAAAAAAAACAAACCCAAACCCACCAGCCCTCTAAAACTTAATCTTCAGCCTTACAGCTGTGTTCATCAGGTCAAAACAGCAGTGTCATGGTAACCAAGCATGTCACTGAAAATCCAAAAGGAAATCCTTTAGCAAATTATCAGTTTTCCTGTACACTCTTGAGAGCTGACCTGAGCAAAATAGAGATCACTTCAATTTCCTACACAAACAAGCATAGTTACCATACACTGAGCTTTCTGTTTGTTTTCCCTGCTTGCAAAGTAAGTTCATCCTACATCTATCCCAGAGCCACTTCTTTAAAAGAAACTAAAAATGAAAGATCTCAAGTCTTCAAACACTTGGAGCTTTTCAGGAGAAAATTTGTGCAACGTGACAAACTAGTTTTCTTCATTTTCCTCAAGTTATCAAGCAGACTTTTTCACTGCAATTCTTGGAAATCTCAAAAAAGACTTCTAGAGGACAGTTCCAGTATATAGGAAGATTACTGAAAAAGGGAAAATGGGTAGAGAGGGCATAAAGGGGGAGAAAAAGACCACAGGGTCTGCAGCACAGGAACACAGAGCTACACTTATTACAGTAGTTCTGACCATTAGCCAAAAAGTCTTAACATTATTTCTTAAATGGAAAAGCCCCACACTGATGCTTTCCCCATCATTATTAGCTTTGCATTAGAGCAAACAGTATTGGAATAAGCTATATAGGCATAGTTCTGCTCCTGGTTAATACGACAACCAAAATCAGATTGCACTGGAAGCAGAATTAAGTCATTTTGTTTATATAGGTGCTTGAAAGTATCAAAATGGAAACAAAGATTACAATACATAAACTCATAAGGAGTTTACTAATGATATATGATTACTTTTTTCCATTTCATTTAACCTGAAGAACAGAATTAGATGAAACACTTCAACTTTCCTCCACTGACACAAACTGGCAATGCTATAGCATAAGAATCATCAGCAGTAAGAGGACAAACCCACCATTTTCAACTACATTTTCCACCATTATTTTCCTTGCAAGTTTTTAGCAGCTTAAAATGAGACATCTCACTAAATGAAAATGTCAGGGCTTCCTCCTAAGAAAAGCTCATAAGATTTTTAAGGGTAAACAATTTAATTTATTTGAAGTGAAGATATTTTGGCTCTTAATATTTATGTTGTCTTATTTAATTGTTTTAGGAACAATGTTTGGACCTGGTTGAGCTCCAAATTTTACTGCTCCTCTTATACAGGAATATACTATTCTGCAGAGACTGGAGAAATACTACACAGTGAGAGGTGGGCACATCAATATGCCACGTTCAGAGCCCTCTATCCCATGGAAAACCCACTGTTGGGGCTCTGCTCCCCCACCACTATCTAAGTCCACTCCTGGAGCTGTTGGTCCCATGCTCAAGTCAAATAACAGAAATAGAAACCCCTTATCTCAGACTAAAATATCCAACTAGAAACCAAAACTGGTTTAACTGGCTGACTATGAGTTAACTCCACTGACACCAACAGCAACTGGAAAGGAAAGCTCAGACCCCAACATACTAACTTTAGCAAGTTTGCAAGGAATGTGAAATCCTGCTCTTATCATTCTTGACAAGGCTTGCATTTGTTTCATCTCAGAAACACATACGCATCACTGAAGTCAAAATATAGCCACTAGTATGTCACAGAAAGACATATCTTATCTGAAATGTTTTAATAAAGTAAGTATGCAGTTTTATAGAAATCTAGAGCATATATAGCATGGAAACTTTAAATGCTACCTTTTCTAAATCTATTTTCATTTTAAAATACAGTAAAATCAAAGCGATAACAGGATTATGTGGTATAGACACTATTCCTCCTAAAATAGCCTTATTGCACATTTTATATCTTTTTTCTAATACAAATACATAAGACATAAGATTTAGATATTATTTGCGTCTTGCCATTTCTCACAACTTATCACTGCTGTTGTTGACTCAGTACAACACCGAGTTATGGCTGAAAAGATAATTATCTTTCCTACATCCAAGCTCCATCAACAATATTCCATAGTACCAAGTTTTATTATCATTATTGTGAAAGGCCTCTGCCCAAAGTAAACAAAGAGATTTAAGAAAAATAATATTTTCAAATTTGGAAATTTATAGTTCATACTAATACCCATGACAACAATCTTAAAAAAATCTTTAATTTGTTTTAGTAATCCTATAGCAGAACTTATTTCATTGAGTAACTTCAAAGCACACTTCAACTAGTAATCATGTCAAACAATTGTGCTATAAAAGGAAATCAATATTTATAATACATATTGGTTCTACAGAGGGCAAATCAGTTACTGATTCACCTTTTCAACGCAGCCATGGAATTTTGAATAGCTTATCAAAAGAGCAGTAATCTCAGAGCAAATTCAATACTGTTAAAATAGAGATATATATCATCATCTTCCTTCACTCCAAATCCCCTCTCAAAGTCTTTTCCAGGTAATCACACTCATCACTACGACAAATCCTGTGCTCAGCATCAACTTCAACCCTTCTTACAGAATCAAACCCAAGCTCTGTCTACATCTTGCTGTTCAGCTCCTCAAATTGTCTCCTGGATAGTCTTTTCTGCCAATGCACAATAGAAACTCCCACCCAGCAGCACGTCTCAGTTAATGTTCATTGTCTCCTGCTTTACTTCATTATCTTCCTTGGTGGCCTTGACATAATCTTGCCCCATTTGTATCTAACCAGAATGTGGATGTAAACCATCTGTCCCATTCCTCCTTCTCCACTTCAAACATTATCTAATTAGCTTATTTTTAAGCCTTTCTCATGTACTTTCTTTTTTTCACATCCATTCTTTCCTTCAGTAGACTAATTATGTCAGCTTTCACTGAGCATTTCCCATTATGGTTGGAAGCAGTTTAAAATATCTACCTGTTACCCTTTCTTCAAAACTCTTTCTGGTCATTGTGGCAGAAAAATTCAAAATTGGATCCTGATCTGTTGAAAGCACTATATACTGTGCTGAGCATTAGTATAAAGATTAATTATTACCGGTGCTATAACACAATGCAATTTTAAAGAGATGAAAAATTCTAAGAATAAGATAGGAGACTACTCAGGATCTCACAGCACGATTAGAAATGTCATGAATCTTCATTTCAGGCTCCTACTTAAAAAGCAACAACTTCTCTTACTTGGAATGACTTACTGATTTACACAGCTGTAATTTGTGGGCACTTTGCTCTTTAGAGAACTTGAGCTTTTCCCAGCCTTCCCCTACTGAGGGACAGCACAGTCATTGCACAAACTGTTAACACTGATGTGCAAGATGGTCTTGGAGGATCTGTGCCTGGACTGAAGTATCTGTGCTTTCCTTTGTAAACTACTACATCAGGGCAACCAGTGATCTGTAAACACTACATGACTGGATACATTTGTGGGATCACTAGCAATTAAATACTGTTGCCATTAGACTCCAAGTAAAATTACATGAAATTTTTTTTTGTTCCAAGAAAATGTTCAGTGAAGCCCATTATCAGATGATGGTTGAGCACCCGAGGCTCAGATTAATATGCTGCCTTTTGATTTATCAACTCTTTATTTATTTATTTTTAAGAAAACCTTAGGTGCATGATTATAGTAAACTACCAAAAGTACCTGGAAGAGGCACAAAGAACTTCCTGTATGATTAATATTGATTAATTTCTACTTAATCAGTCTCTGCTTTGTGCCATGCACTCTAATGACCACAGTAACAGAAAAAGTCTCTTCTCATTGCTTTGGATATGAGGATATTGGAACAGCTTAAAAGTCTAAAGGAAACATATTCAATGATGAAAATGCAAAATACTGAATTCTATAAGGAGTACTTTGAACAAATGGTATGCATAATGTTAAAAAATTACTTGAAGAAACTCCTAATGCTGAAATCATGGCAAAACTACCACTAACTTCAACAGTCCAGACACCATTGTGGAAAGCACAGTGAAAACCTGGGATCAATGACAATAAAATCAAAATTAAGGCAAAAAATAGCAGCAAGATATTAAGATGAGCAAGATTAGTCAGAAGGGGGCATTCCCTCAAAGAACTTTTTTGGATCTGATTATTCTGTCTCAGAAGAGGGAAGGGCAGGAATAGCCATTTGCATCATTAAGGACACGGCACGAATCTTCACAAATTGAAAGACAAAGTTAAAAAGATTGCTGTAATTATATGAAGAGGTAATTAAGAAGACATATGATAAAAGCAAATAAACCACAAATGCTGTATGAAGACAAAGCAGTGATTTTTGATCCATTCAGATTCAAAAATCCAGTGATGCAATTCCCAGTGAAGCAAGTATGACAAATTCAAAACCGAATAAAGGAAGTGATTTTTGCTGCCACCAAGTAAAATAAGCTTCTGAAAACCACTTTCACAAAACATCAGAAGCAAAGTGCTTAGCAGGATTCAAAACAAGATGAGACATTTCTT